TCCTTTCCTTTTTCCTTTCCTTTTTCCTTTCCTTTTTCCTTTCCTTTCCTTTCTCCAGGAGTGGGTTTTTCTGTGTAGCCTTGACTGTCATGGAACTTGCTTTATAGACCAGGCTGGCCTCAAAGTCAGAGATCTGCCTTCCTCTGCCTTCTGAGTGCTAGGATTAAAAGGCATGTGCCACCACACTTGGCCAATAGTTCTTTATTAAAGGTGTAAAAATACAACTGAGGGCTAGGGTGTTTGGTTCAGTCACTGAGTACGTGGCTCAGCCCCAAGCATGCTCACACACAGAGATGCCGCTGAACTCTATAGGAGCTATGGCACCAGGAAGAGTGACCCGCTTCCCCAGGGCGTGCTTCATGGCTTCTATAAGAAAACCAGCTAATCAGACCAGAAGGGAAAGGAGGTTTCTTTATATTGGAAAGAGTAGAGACAAAAGTTTAGAGGTGAAGTGGGGAGATCCTTTGGTCAGTCCTGTAGGGGGCGCTCTCTGTGAGGTTTAAGATTGCTCTGTGGTGTTAGCGAGTGAATGGCCTTTGTAGCTGGTAGAGCAGGTGTGGCCTTGCCCCACCTCTGAGTGCTGTCTCTCCTGCAGGTGCGCTCCCTTGAGGCCCACATGTACCCGGAAAAACTCAAGGTGATTGCCCAGCAGGTGCAGCTGCAGCAGCAGCAGGAGCAGGTGCGGCTGCTGCACCAGGAGAAGCTGGAGCGGGAACAGCAGCACCTACGGACCCAGGTGAGCAGGAGACTCCAGGAGGGCCTCCACAGGCTGTCGCGGGATCTCAGAATCCATAGGAGGGTCTCAGACTGCGTAGGTGCAACACAACCGTGCAGGCATGCTGCGTTTCAGGTGTCTCGGGAGCATTGGAACAGAGACCAGAATCTTTACGGCAGTCCTTTGATGCTTGAGCTGTTTACTGTTTTATTGCTGTGGAAAATAAGGTAGAGAAAGGTCAGATAATCTGCTCTGGAGCAGGAATTTGAACCCTCTCTGTCTTAATCCAGGAACTATCCTCCTCTTCCTCTCCTCCTCCTCCTCTTCATCTTCCTCCTCTTTCTTTTCTTCTTCTTTTTAATTTTTTTATTTCTTTATTTTTTTTGATGGTGCTGACTGAGCCTAGGGCATGTCTGGCAAGCATTCTACCACTGAGTACATCCCAGCCCCACACTGTACTGTTTTCGTTTTTTTTTTTTTTCATGATTCAGGATCTCACTATTTAGAGCAGGCTACCCTTGAATTCACAGAGATCTGCTTCTGCCTCTGGAGTGCTGGGGTTAAAGGTGTGTGCCAGCACACACAGCCAGAGTGTCTACTCTTGAGCAGTCATTTATCAGGTCCTAACATGCTTCTTGAGCTGCAAGCCACGGGACCAGAGGATCGGATACACCGAAGTCCTTCTGTCCATTCCTAGTGTTCGAGGGGTTGGTGGGATTGTGAATTGGTTGGTCCTCTCTACTTGTCAGTTTTTTATTAGTGTCACAGGCACCTGAAATAGGCAGGTTATAAAGAGAAAAGGAGAATTTGACTCGAATTTCGAAGGCTTCAGATTGGACCCATGGTGAGGTGATTTAGGAACAAAACCAGTCACCTCATGGCTTGGAAACTAAAGAGAGGAAAAGAGACAAAAGCTGGGCTCTTAGTTCTCTTGGGAGATGTGCCGCCCACTCACCTAAAGAACTTCTACCTGGCCCCATTATTATAATTACAATTATTATTGTTTTTGGTTCTCTTTTTTTGAGACAGGGTTTCTCTGCACCCCTGGCTGTCCTGGAACTCACTCTGTGGACCAGGCTGGCCTAGAACTCACAGAGATATGCCTGCCTCTGCCTGCCAAGTGCTGGGACTAGAGGCGTGCACCACCACTGCAAGACACTAGACTCCATTATTTTTTGTCGTAAGCGAGAGCCTTGCTATGTATGTGGGCCTTGAACTTGTGCTCATCCTGCCCGGCCTCCTGATAGCCATGATTACAGCTGTGCACCGCTACACTCCACTTCTTAAGGTTTTTGTCTTGGGCTGGAGAGATGGCTCAGCAGTTAAGAGCACTGACTGTTCTTCCAGAGGTCCTGAGTTCAATTCCCAGCAACCACATGGTGGCTCACAACCATCTACAGTGGGGTCTGATGCCCTCTTCTGGTGTCTGAAGAGAGGAATGGTGTACTTACATAAAATAAATAAATAAATAAAAAGAAAAGGTTTCTGTCTTCTAATACTGCCATACCAGAGACCAAGCCTTTGTGGGTGGGCATTTAAAATCTAAACTAGCAGATACCCCATGAGTAAGGGAGTTTGGTGGGCTGGAACCTGTGGGGAACACTGAGGACTTATGTCTTTCAGCTCCTGCCTCCTCCAGCCCCCACCCACCACCCCACAGTGATCGTGCCTGCGCCTGCCCCGCCTTCCTCTCACCACATCAATGTTGTCACCATGGGTCCCTCCTCAGTCATCAACTCTGTCTCTACATCCCGGCAAAATCTGGACACCATCGTGCAGGTATGTGGGCTCAGGGAAGGGTGGCTTGTGGGAATTGACTCTTGAGGGCATGCTTTTTCCTGGAGACCAGGAAGTAGGATGTGGACCGAGAGCAAGATGGAGGAGAAAAGGTCTGGATACCTGGAGAGGTCACCTTACCTGTGCCTGACTTAAAAAGACACTCCTTTTTAAAAATGACACCGTGTGTGTGTGTGTGTGTGTGTGTGTGTGTGTGTGCCTGTCTGTCTGTCTATCTTCTGTCTGTCTGCACCGTGGAACGCAATGGTGACCAGAGGACAGCTTGGCGGAATGAGTTCTCTACCACATTGGACTCAGGGTCAGAAGGCTTGTAAACTCAGGTTTATGAGGTCTGGCGGTAAGTGCTGTCACCTATTGAACCATGCTGCTGGGCCTGGGAAGCTTTGTTCTCAGAGATTCCTGGTGATCAGTCTTAGTTCAGCTTGTGAGCTGGTCTAGAACTTTCTCTTACCTTCATGGTTCTTTTCCCTTTTTGTATATATTAGGATACATATGCAGGTGATATGTGCAGAGTTGTGTGCATGTTTATGTGTGTAGGTACACACGCAGGTGGAAGCCAGATGTCAGCTTTGGAGCTCCTTAGGAGCTGCCCACTAAGGGTTTTTTTCCCCTTTTAATTTTGAGATTATAATTACACCATTTTCGCCTTCCCTTCCTCTCTCCAAACTCTCATATACCCCTCCTTGCTTTCTTTCAAACTATGACTTCTTTTTCATTAATTGTTACATATATACATATATGTATGTATGTGTGTGTGTATATATATAATGTGTATATATATAATGTGTATATATATATGTATGTGTGTATTTGTATTATATATCTATATCTGTATACATATTAAGTACATAAATACACCTTGCTTGCTCAGTCTGTAGAATGTTACTTGCATGTTTGTTTTCAGGGCTGACCATTTGGATAACCACTTGGTGTGCTCTTCCCTGGGGACTGGGAAGACCATTTCTCTGCTCTCAGCACTCCTTCATTGCCTGTAATTCTTTGTGTTGGACTGAGGCTCCTAGACTCTGTATTGTCCACTTTGGCCTGTTTATTGGTGGCATCTTATGTTTGGGCAATCAAGTTGGTAAGACTTGATGAGTGGACTTTCTAACATGCCTAGGGGACATAATTTCACGGTTTTCGGAAGCTAGGTCCTTCATCGTAACAGAAGGGTCTTCTCTTTCTAAGTTCACCCCTGCTTTGCTTTGCTTAGTTTATTTCTGAACTGTCCTGGCATGTGTGTTTTTTGGGCAGAAAGCAGCTGGCCTAGTTTCGCTAGCTCAGTCTCCTCGATGGACTGTCCTTTCTGTGCAGGCCATCCAGCACATTGAGGGCACCCAGGACAAACAGGAGCTGGAAGAGGAACAGAGGCGAGCAGTTATCGTGAAGTCCGTCCGCAGCTGCCCGGAGGCCCACACCTCTGATACCGCTTCTGACTCCGAGGCCTCGGACAGCGACGCCATGGACCAGAGCCGGGAAGAGCCTTTGGGGGACGGGGAGCTTCCCTGACCACCCCCAGCCCTCCTCTCCCTCCTGGGGGCTAGAGGGGGCCGGGGCAACAACAGGGAGAAACGTAGGTGAATGAGAAATTTTTACAAAATTATGATGTCATTTGGGTCTCTTTTATGACCTCCTTTTCAATACTGTAAGTCGACCTTTGATCGAAGCCACCAGAGCCCAGGTCCCGGGGTTGTGGTGGTACAGCACGCGTGGGCGCATGCGTGGGCGCATTGGGACTCCAGGGCTGGGCCTCGGCCCTGGGGCCGGGGAAGCTGACACAGAGGTGCCTGGCCTCTCTCGCCAAAAAGCTTTTAAATTTTTGTTTCGTTTTGGTTTTGTTTTTTTTTTTCCTTCCATTTAAACGTGTTTTTAAGAACAGGGAAAATCAAATAAAACCCCAAGGTATTGCTCACTCCCCAGAGTCAGCCCGAGGCTGTCAGTCTTCACCCCTTCCCTCTATTGGGTTGTCTTTTTCTCTTGTAAGCACTTACATGGGTTGGGGGTCAGGCTGGGTTGGGGCTTTCTGGGGACCCGGAACCCCAGAAATCGGGAATTGGGGATCCACATTGCTTCTCGGTTGGGGTTTGCTGCTGCCATTGTTCCTTCCCCTTCCCCACCTCAGTACCAGAATTGGCCACTCTCCGTCTCCACCTTCCCTTCCAGAGTTCCTGTCATTGACCCCAAAAATGTCTTTGTCTCTCTTTTGTTTTGTTTGTTGTTGGTTTTATTTTGGTTTCTGTATTTTTTTAATTTTTCTTTTTTTCTTTTTTACAATTTTAAGATCTTTGTGTCCAAGGAGAAGCTATTATATTTTGTTAAGAAAATGGGGGTAGGGAACAAAATACCAAGAGGCCATTGTGCCTTTGTAAAGAAACAAAATAAAATTTGTACTTTGTTTTTTAGTTGCTGTATTTATTGAGGATGTTCTGTTCTGGGATCCTGGTCTGGGCTGGTTGGCCTAGATTAAGGGGTATTTTTTTGGACTTCCAGAGAGGACTGTGTGCATACAGTGGTACCCCTGAATTGTGGGTGGAGTTGCAATGAGATGGAGGTCCTCACAGCCCGTGGGCTTCCCTGGAAGGTTCTTCAGCAGTGGTGTGTGTGCTGGGGCAGGAGGGAGTGCCTCCAGTTTCTGTTTCAAACCACCATGGGAGGGGGGGAGCAAGCACGCCACATTTTCTAACTCCCAGAGAAAACACAGATGCTTACAGGTCCTGGTAGACTGGTGAGCCTTACTGCTTCCTTGTGTATCCCTGTACTCCTCTTCTCCCCAGCTTACAAATCCCCGTAGAAATTTGGGAGCTGTTTCCTGTTTCCAAAACTATTGGATAGTACCAACAACCCGGGGTGTGACGAGTAACTGACTTCCTGGGGTTCCTTACAGAGCAGTAGACAGTTGAGCTCCATGCACATCCCTGTTTTCTGTGGCTCTTGGCACACACGGCTGAATTAACTCAGATCTGGTTTTAGAGCACTGCCCAGTGGCTAAGCAGCAGAGGTGACTACAGGTTCTGATAAAAATGGACTCCCAGAAAGTGCTTATGTGAACTCAGCCCTTGTTTCTAATGGAGGCTAAGAGGGTCACAGATCTCGGCGAATACTGTCTGACCATGGGAAGCCTGCCTTTGTTAGGTCTGGCACACAGAATAGCTGAGTGAAGCTAGCTGTAATATGGTGTTCCTCAGGCTGGGTAGGAGGAGTCTCATACCCTGTGAGGCCAGTGTTTTTCTCTGCACACAGGAAGGCAACATCTCCATGAAATGCCTGTAAGGGCTTGGGCTCTAGCCATGCCCCAATGCTCAGCTCAGCTGTACACTCACTTCCTCTGAACCTGTTTCCTGTTCTGGAAATTGTAAGTAGTGTTCGAGAAGAGTGTCCATCAAGTTTCTTAATTTCGTGACTAGAGATCACTTTCTATGACATGGCCCATGTCTTATTCCTGCTCAGGCTGTATGGGCGAAGGTCAGAGCAGAAAGGCCAGTTTCCATCTTCAGTATGCCCCTGGACATGAACTCAGTAAAAAGGCGGGAACAATTTTAAACATTAGAAATCTCCAAGGCATACAATTTGTCATTTTATGACTGAATCTAATCCATTCACCATGTTGATAAACTCATCTAATTCAAAAATGTCTCCACAACTTCCAATTGAGCCCCTTCTTGTAAAGCAGTCACTATTCATGACTTATCCTCCCAGTCCCACATGGCCACTGATCTCAGTTTTAAAAACAAAATAGTGGGGGTGGGCAAGATGGCTCTGGGAAGGTAACTGCTACCAAGCCTACCTGAATTTGATCCCAGGACCCACATGGTGGAAGGAGAGAATTGACTCCTGAGAGTTGTCTCTGACCTTCACATGTATACCATGGCATACTAGAGAACTAAATTCCAGCTCTCAGGAGGCAGGTGGTTTGAGGTAAGCATGGTAGTGATTTCAAGGTTGGGCAGGGGTATTCAGTGAGACCCTGTCAGCAAAAACAAAACAAAACCAAAAAACAACAAAACAAACAACCCCCCCCAAAAAAAACTTCCCCAAAACATAAAGGAACCCGCACAAAACAGTTTGACTACATTCATTGAAACTCACACTTGATTGTGTGTGGTTTTTTTGTTTTATTGAGTAGCCACCATCATGATAGGAATTAGTACCTCCTCAGTGTTCACCCATCTCTGTTGTTTCCCTGATATAGCTCTGTAATAGTTTTATATAACATTTTTTTTGGAAAGTGTTATGTAAATAGTCATACAATAGCCATTTGAGTATGGTGTCTTTAGGCAGCCTTGTGCCTAATTTTCCCTTAGGTGTGAGGTGGTCGACAGGACTAGCTCCATGCAACTTCTGATAGTGTCAACAGAGGGCGCTACGGGCCTAGGATGACTGTTTCTGGCGGTGCCGAGGCTCAGCCTCCTTCCGGTCTGCTCTAATCCCATAGGGCAGAGGCGGAGTTTGGGGCGGAGCCAAGGAAAATATTCCTTCTCTGGAAAAGCGCCGGCGCCCAGCGGTGGTAGGCGGTCTTTTGAGAAGGCTGTGGAATCCCGTGGCGTCTTCCCGCCCCTTCCGGGTTTAGTCACGCCCTCTCGGCGCACACACCTCCCGGCGCCTCGGGCGTCTAGTGGAGTTCCCGCCCACGGGCGCGCCGGCCCCGCCCACAGGCTGCGGAACTAGCGGGTCCCCGGGGGTTCGAGCCCACATTTTAGTGGGTCGGATGGTCGTGCCCTGATGTCTCTACACGTGCGACTTTAAAATGTTCCAGAGGAGGCCGTAAAACAGCCGAGAAGTAGGTGACATTTACGTACCGCACTTAATTATGCCTGGAACATTGTCGCCTCAGGACATACGATGGGTGCCAGGTTCCTTCATTGTTCGGCTGAGCCCCAAGCCCGCGCGCTGCTGCTGCGGTCGGCAGAGCGAGAGGTGGGACCCCGCCGCGCCAAGTTTGCACTATATTCTTATGTGCAGGGAAGATGGACCTGTGGTTTTTGTGTGTGTGTGTGGGGGGGGGGGGGGAGCAAGCCCCACCTCTGCCCGTTCCCACTTTTAAAAAATCTGTTTTTACTTTTTAATTTCACTTTTAGGTTTTATTATATCTAGTTTTTACAGAGTTGCTTATTTTTATTTTGTGTGTATGAGTTTGCCTACACCTCTGAGCATGCGCCATGTGCATGTGTGGTGCCAGCCGTCCAGAAGAGGGCGTTGGATCCCTTGGAACTTAAGTTTTTAAGACAGCTCTCGTTGGGTTGCTGAGAACTGAACCCTAGACCTCTGCTCTTAATAGCTGAATGATTCCTCCAGATCCTGTTTTATCTTTTTTGTTTGCTTGTTTATTATATATGAACATACCTATAGTCGGAACACGTAGGCAGAAGCCAAAGGAGTTAAAAGGTTATCCTTAGCCACATCTAAGTTTAGGCCAGCATGGAATACCTGAGACAGTTCTATCCTGGAGTCAGTTCTATCCTTCTACCATGTAGTCCAGCGAACAGAACTCAGGTCATCAGACTTGTCAGCAGACACTTTTACCCACTGAGATGTCTTACTAGCTCTAATGTAATTTAAAAAGAAAAAATTCTTAATCGCGAGTGTGTGTGTTCATGAGTGAAGTACCTGAAGAGGCCAGCAGAGGGAGGCAGGTCCTCAGGAGCTAGGGTTAGAGGCTGTTGTGAGCTGCCTAACAAGATCTCTGGGAACTGAACTCTGGCCCACATTTAATTGCTGAGCCATTTCTCCAGTGCTCTATTTAATTTAATTTAAATTTTTAGAGACAGGGTCATTCATGTATTTCAGGCTAGCCTTCGACTCCTCGTGTTACCGAGGATAACCTTGACTTCCTGATCCTTCTTTGTGTGCCCAAGCGTTGGGATTATGGATGTGTTCCATTATATCAGTAGTATATTAATTACTTTTTCATGAACCAGACAATTTATTGCAGAAAAGTGGTCAAGGTTCCAGTTAAGAGGTCCCAGCTGAGGCAGTGCTGGGTTTCTTGGTGCAGGAGTGAGTAGGGGAGGCAGGAGGGGCAGAAGCTTTCATCTGACCATTGACTCTAAGCTGCCAGATGTTGGGGGCCAGACTGCAGGCAAGGCCTGTATCATTCAACTTTTTGCTATCCTCTATCACCACAGAAAACCTGGTGAGCCAGCAATTCCCAAAGAGGGAAACCAAAGAATCATTTAGTAATGAATCTGTCTTCCCAAAGGCCCCATGGGTGCAGCCAACCGTGTTGCATTCAGTTTTGTGAGTTTGATCACACTTTTTGGTCACAATGACATATTTAGCACTCAGGCATGCTACTACCTACATACCCTTGGCTGTTAGAGCCTAGGCTTGCTCTACAAACCCAGGGAAGTGGGTCTTAGACCAGTCAGGGCTAAATGTCCCAGCAACTCCAAACAGCACATCCACTTGTCCTTAAATAACTCTGCCATGTTCACAATCCTAGACTTTCCTTGAACACCTCTATGGTGGGCAAGGTTACTGAGGTAACTACAGGCTGGCTGTATGCCTATCCTACTCTTTCTTAGCCTGTCCTGGCTAAGTACAAGTGTGGACTTCAAGGTCCCACCAAACGACAAGCAGCCAGACTGGCCATGTACCTGCCTGCTAGCACCAGCATGTTAAAGCTTTGTATGACTATTCCATAATTTATTTAGCCATTTACCTAGAGAGGGACATCTAGGCTGTTTCTAATTTATAAGTATTGTAACTTCATTTTTATATACCCTGCCCCTTAAATGCATTGGGTCAGTTTTCTGGTGACAGTTGAGGTTTGTCTTGTGCTTGGTTGATGATCTCTTTGGTGGTTGTTTCTTTGAGATCAGGGCTGGTTATTCTTGGTCCCTGGTTCCCTCATTGGCCTTATCTTGAGTCTCTATTAGGAGCAGTACTTTCCCACTCCTTGGGAAACGCGTTCCTGTCGAGGACCATTACATCACACCTTGTTGCCTTTATGGTGATTCTCAAGAAAATCCTTGCTGAGTCTCAGTAACAGAAATACTTTCATTTCTTCTGAGCATGTGGTTGGTTCTTAGATTAAGGAAACTGAATTGGGCATGTGGTTAAGTTATGCGTGTGTTAGGCCTTAAATATATAGTCTTTTTCCTCCTAGACTTCCTTTTTGTGCTTCTTCCTGTTTCTTTTCTGCTGCTTGGTGCATTCCTGCTATATTTTATGAATCATTGGCAACTAGGTTTATGCTTTTCTGGCACAGTATGACACATAATAAGTATGTGCCCTTTGTGCCATGGTTTGGGCAGAATAAGAGAGTAATGCCTCAGCTGCAGAAGATGTTTGAAGAATTGTGTGGTGGAAGAATTGTGTAGAGGAGGGGTCCTTGCCATGACCTTGGTCTCTTCCACAGTGACTATTGGCCCCAGGCCAGTGTGTAGAGCACACGGAGATCATC